GAGAAAGGCCTTTGCACTTTCACACAATAGCATTTTTCCAAGTCTCACATCTCTTGAAAGGTCAGATGTCCAGGAACCAGACAAGTGATCACACCATCCTGGTTCTTGTTGTGAACCAAAGGTGCTACAATGTTGGCCACAGGCAACAAGCAAAGACTGGAATTTGTGCACTGCCGTGCACTGCCATGTGGTAGCATTCTTATCTTTCTTGTGCTCAAGAAAAGAGTATTCACCAACCAAAGCTAGTAAATGATCGCCCACTTGCAGCAAATAATGGATGTCACCACATCTGAAAGCAAATGCCTTCTGGCAGCTCCTTTGAAGAAAATGACATCACCAATGGCCACTGTCATCCCAAGGCCAATCCTGCAAGACCTGCTGCTAAAAGAGCTTCCTGGGTCAAGCACCAAGCCTTGTTCCATCAAACAAAGCAACACTTTCTTGCTTGGTTTCACAGGCTTCAGCAGTGTGCACCCAGGCTTCAAATGAATATTGTCATCTTGAAGTGAGCCAATGTGCTCAATCAGAACACCTCTGAGAAGAGAAGACTCATAGTGCTTCATGTTGAAGCAACTGCCGCCGTGCTTTCTGATGGTTTTGTGCTTCCGCTCCATGGACCAGCATGCTGGTAGGCATTTTTGTCCAATGAAATTTGGGTCTCATTAGAGAACCCCAAGAGGCACTAACAGTGCATGCCAGTGCATGCTCCACCAAGCTTTGAAGAAACCTTGGGTTAGACTTCAAAAGTGGTACAGCCAAGCAATAATCTAACACTCTGCTCCAAGCCACAAAGCATCTGCACTGTGCTGGGAGCACATCATTTTCCAAACAAACAGTTTGAATAAAATAGGCCAGAAGCCTGTGTAGAGAAAGCATGTCGGAGGCTGTTGTCTTCAGGCCTGCTTGCGCCCATTTCCAGGTATCCTCTCAATGTTGTCCAAATGGCCATTCCTGCCTCTGACAGGGCCTGCAGCACCCAGAAGGATACAAAACTCAAGACTCCCTTGGAAGTCATACCATGCATGAAGTCGTGACAGTATTGTGTGCAGGGTGCCAGCACCTTCCTCTCAAGCAGTGCCTGGGACAACAGAAAAGATTCTGCTGAGAAGTTGATGCCAGCAGCCTGCTGCCACCTGGCCCACTCAGCCTTTGAACATGTTTCTTTCCTATCCTTCATCCTTTGCCAAGATTGCAAGAGCTCTTGGTCAGTTGTCAAAGCCACATCATCTAGTTTTATGAAATCAACAACATCATTTTCAGCCTCCCCAGCTGCTGGCCTCATTAAACATGTTCTTGCACAATTGACAAAGTCTTGAACCTCCATCTTGCTTGTTCAGGAATGTCATTTTCTGAGCTCCTCCATCCTGTAGAAACATTCCCAAGCAGAAATGTAGCTTCAAATGGGAGCTGTCAGCCCCTTTTAAGAGCAAGCCCACAGCAGGGTTGGTGGGTCCAGTGAAAATGCTTTCCAGGAGGATCTTGAATACTTGTGCCATCCCACCATCAAGTTCTGCAACCAGGCTTGACCTGGAGATGAAGAGAGTTGTCCACAACTCTTCTCTAGAAAGGTCTGCACCAAACTCAAGAAATGAACTGTCCAGACCTTCTTGGACATACTGCTCAACTGATGTCCTGGATGAACCTCGTCTGAGTACAGCGCTAATCTCCAGGGTTTGTCGCATGATGAAGGCCTTTGATGGTGGATTCAGTCCATGTATTTCTTGAATGGCTCTGCTGCAAAGTACAGGCCAGCAAGCAAAGAAAGGAGGTTCACATGAAGCACCTGTGTTGTGCCACCTGGAGTCACCCCTTTAGCTGTGACCTGCAGTGGGCCATACAATGACATTGTGCTCAGCAAAGATCTTTCAGCTTCTCTAAATGTTCTAGGAGCAGTGTCTTGTGGGATGCCTTCCTCTTTCACTTTCTTCAAGATTGCTGATAAGCTTGCCTGTGTACAATGGGGAAACCCATGCTTGAAGTCAGTCAGCTTTTGCTGCTTCAGCACTTGGGCTCCAGCCATGGCTGGGCTAAGTCTTTGATACAACACAACATCAAAGTAAAAACATCTATGCCTGCATTCAGTATCTGCAAACCCTAGCTTGTGTGACATTGCCAAAAACCATCTTGTTTGGCACTGCCAGATTGAATCCTGCACAGCAAATTCTGCAGCACAAGTGTTCAAGTTCCATAATGGCTGCCTTTGCAGGAAATGATTCCCCAATGTGGTTGGCAAAAACTGAATTGCAAAAGCCCTTGAGGCTGAAGTCTTGTTGGCCAACGTACAAAAAATGCTGCACTTCACACTTCTTTTTCACACCCACACTGCCACTTGTTTGTTGGTGGTACAATCCCCAAAGCTGCATGCTTTCATGCAGGTGGCCCCAGGCAAAGAGACATACCAGAGCTCTTTGCTCTAGTCTTCATGGTCACCTTCAGGCTGCTTGTCAGCATGTGTCTTTCCTTCACCAAGAGCCTTGTCATCCACCGCATCTTCCAAAGGAACCATGGACAATGATGAAGAACTCTTGCTGACCAAGGGCAGCCCCCCTGATGATGATGCCTGCTGTGAAGCAAGGGTACAGGCTGTGTCCAGGGACCTTGCCTTTTCAATCATGAGGTTGAGTAGCTGCATCTCAAAGCTACCACCACCAACCCCACCACCTCCACCACCAGTGGAAGGTGCACTAGGTGGCCCTGCTTTGGGCAGTGTCTTGTTTGTCGCCCTGACAAGCAAGCATTGACAAACATAGTGCCACGGTCAAAAGGGTTGGAGGGGTACCTTGAGTAGCCACCCACCAAAGACTCAGCAGAACAAGCTGTAAAGGATTCATGGACATACTGAGACAGCTTGTACATTTCAGCGCTTGGAGGCAAAGGTTTGCCGTGCTTCATTTGCAAATGCACTAGCAGTGCAGTCACATACTTCTTGGAATCTTCTTTCAAAGACTTCAGGCCACAAAGCTGCATCCTCCCGACCACTACTTGACAGGCTTCCATTGTGGTCATGTGCTGCAATCTGTTCCATTCACTGGTGCTCAAGAAGTTGTCGACAGAAGTCACGCTTTGGGGTGAAGTTTGCAACTTCAAATGCCCCTGAACACCAGCAGCTGTTTTGCTTTCAAAAGCCTTGTGCAGCTCTTCCTTCACAGCATCTGGCAAGTCTGACTTCTCAGTGGCATCCATCAGCTGGACAAAAGCAGAAGGTGTGAGAATGTGAACTGCTTCAACCCTGGCTTTGAGGCCAGCCACCATCGCAGCCACAAGATCTGACCCATTCCTTTTGGATTGAATTAAACAAAGGTCAGAGATCTCCTTGACCAAGTCAGTGACATCCCAGGAGGCCATGGCTCAGAACTGATTGTGTCTGGTAATTGTTCTGTTATCTTGACATGCTTCAGATTGTTTTGTAAATGGCTATTGCTGTTTGTATTTGTGTGTTGTAGTTGTAATTCTCTTTGAAGCCAAACTTGCTCTTTTGAAAGCAAATTAGGAAATATGAAAAGCCCAAGTGGCTCCCAAAAAATTATAGAGCAAGCCCAAGTGGCTACCGCACTGAAACCTATTGAACACATTTTGAAAAAAGAGCAGCTGGGACATTAGCAGCATTATTTTTCCAGACTTGAGTACCAATACATATTGGAAAGATGAAAAATGTGCTTTCTTTGGAAATGTATTTCAACCAATTTTATAGTTCAATTTGTTTTTGATAATTGAAACCAAAACATTTTTGATTTCATTTTTTTTGCTAATTGAAACCAAAACATTTTTGATTTCAATTTATTTTTGTAAATTGAAATATAATAGTTTTTTAGATAGAATACGTTTTTAAATGTGTTTTTTAACTTAATATATAGTTGATTAGCCAACTGGGCTTTTGTTTTGAGCAAGTACGACTGCATTCATTTGAACCACCATTAGTTGATTTGGTTCAAGATTATCTTCCTTCAGTGCTCATCACCCTCTTGGGAGCAATGGCAATGGATGACAATCAAAGGTTTATGGCTTTTGAAAACAAGCCAGCTCAAGTCAGGGTTCTAGAGACCCTTGATGATAGAGAAGCTCTGAAAATCAATGTGCAAGGCTTCAAAAGGTACGACTCTATCCATTTGCCTGATTGGAGCTGGCTGGAGAAGACACATGCAGAAACTACGCGTATTTAGGGTGTATGAAACTGATGTTCATTCACCACAGTGATACTGTGCGCTCTTTGCATCTGAATGTTATATTGTGTTTCTAAGGAAGCGCACTCCTTTGCAGAGAAACTTGGCCAGATGCAGCAGTCTTTCTCTTGTGCTCTTTGAAGGGTGGGGTCAAGCTTTAAGTTCACACAGCCAAGGATGATGTCCAAGGACCCTCTGTTGAAGCAGCTCTTCCAGTCCTACAATATCATTGAAGGGATCTCCATGGCTGCAGCCAGAAGACAAAAGCTGATTGATTCACCCACCAGGTTCTTTGCTCCAAGAGCAAAGCTGTGAATGTACAGCTTCAGCTTCAAGAACAGCTGACCTGACAGCTGTGGGCTTTTTTGAAACATCTACTTTCTGGCCAAGCTGTACATTCCTTCATGAATCTTTGGCCATCCATTCTTTTGAATGTTCTTTTTCAAGCTTTCAATGTCCTTAGACATCTCAGGGATTTGACTCCACCTGTTGAAGAGCCTGTGAATCCTGTGCCAATCTTGCTGCTCCCAGGCGATCATGATAGCTGCCATCTTGCCTTTCCAACCTCCATGTGCACCAGGACTTTGAGACGCAATGTCCTGACTTGACAGCCACTGATCATAACAATATTTGTAGGCAGGGGTGTATATATAAAACGGTTGTTGGTGACATATGCCAAAAACTAGCCAAGCTTCATCTGTAGTGCCAACTGTCATAGGAGTCCCATACAAAAACTTCTTCATTTGCTCTGGGCTAATCACCAGATGCTTCTGGTGGTTTTCATGCGCTGTTGGGTCAGACTGCTTCACCTGAGCTTGTTCTTGTGGGCAATGGCGGGGTTCATGTCCTCCATTGCTCCAAGAAGTGGAAGGTCCAGAACTTGTGAGCATCCAAAGCTGCCTTGTGGTCAATGGAGTTCATTGCAGAAGGAGCCATCATAGCTGCAGCCTTCTCTGGAACAAAGGCCTGCTTGACATTCTTGTTGGAAGGAGCTGAAGGAGGTTTCTTCCCAGAAGGCTCCTCAGCAGTGAGCACAAATGCAACAGCTAGAGAAATGTCAACACAAACAAACACTTGACAAGAAACAACATCAAACTGATTCAACTCCATGCACAGGCAAAGCACATCCTGGCTTGGTACAGAAGCTTCAGCCACAAGCTCACCAGTGCTAGCGCTATCATTGGAAGAGTCCTTCTCCAAGTAGTACCTCAAAGTCTCCTGAGTTCAATGTACAGAAATGAGCTGGCGTAGGGGTAGGCAGCATATGGGTTTACAACACTACCAACAGACCAACAGAAAAATTGAAGTCTGAAATCCATACGTGTTTCTGAAACCATATTCAGCTTCTCTTCTTCTGTCATCTGTGCCATGGGAGCAGCCCTAGGACGCTTGAGAGGCCTTTCTGTCCTCCATGGTGGTGGAGGGGAAGCCATGTCTTTGTCTACCTTGAGACCTTGGAAAGCCTTCAACAAGAACATTCAGCTTTGTTCAGGTTGTGTACCTGAAGGTTTGAACAGCTAGAAACAGTTTCTCATGAAAAAGAAAAGCCCTTCAGGCTAAACAAAAGCTAGAAACAGTGTTTTCTGAAAAAGAAAAGCCCTGCAGGCTGAGAAAGTTGAATAAAACAAAAGGCAGCCCCTGAGGCTTCAACATTGTTACCAAAAAACAAAGAAAGCCCTTGTGGCTTCAAATTTGTGCATTGTGAAAGCAAGCAAACATTTTTTCCAGCGGTGGCTTGAGCCTTCATAAGTTTTTGTGGTCACATGACCTCAGTCAGGAAACCTTCTGCTTTTTCAAAGCGGGTTCCTTCACCATGGAGCTCTCTGGCTTGAGGGAATGGCTTCTGAGTTTTGTCGGACTGGGATCTTCCGGCCTTTGTAATCCAAAGGCACAATGCTCTTGCTCACCTTCTCCTCGTTGTCGGCTGTCCTGATCCAAAAGAAAGGGCAACAAGTGCTGTTGCAAGAAGCTGGCACTGCTCTCTGTAACTTCTGTGAGCTCAAAGATCTTCTCACCATGATCCTTGTGAAGATACCTTATGCAAACACAAGTGTTGGGTTGGGCAAAACTAGCAACAGAAAACTAGCTGCTAGCATGAAAGCAACTAAACCTTCCAAAGTGCTTGCTGTTCAGTTTGATGTGTGCGTTCTGCAGGAAGGCTAGTTCTGTGGCACTTGCTTCCAGGAGGTTCCTGGCTGAAGGTGCCACTGTCATTCTTGCACTGCCAGAAGCATGCTCCAAAGTGCCCTTGAGCTCCTGACTGAACTTCTCTACAATGTCTTCACTGGAAGCATAGGGCTCGTCCCTTGAATGCTTCTCCTTCTGGACCAGAAACAGAACAAGCCTCACACACAGCCTCCCAAAGCAACTGTAGGCATGGCTTTTGTCAACAACATCTTTGGCTTGTGTCCATCCACCCCTCAAGATCTGCTCAAGGAGCTTGGTTTTCTCTTTCCCTTTCAACTTGTCCAGGTCAGACTTGTAAATGAGCTTGCTGATGTTGTCATGGTGCTTCTTGGAAGTCAACATTGTAGCAGCCAGAGCCAGCCGAGTAAAGTTCATGCTGCACCCTGGCAAGCGAAAGTCATAGAAGGCCAGGTGGTTCATGTTTTCTTCACCAATGAGCAAAGAGTGGCTACAGGACTTGCCTTGAATGTGCAGGCATACAAATACATGTGAAGCAACACACATAGCCACCTTGCATCAAGGTTTAGAGATTTGATACCTGCAGCCCTTCATACAAAGGAGGTTGCAAACGAGTTTTGTTTTAAGCTTGGTGGCTGAAGGAATCCAAGAACAACAGCATGGGGAAATCAGAGCCGCCCATGAACATCTTCATGAAGTAGGCGACATCTGACAAATACCCTTGGCAACTTGGGGCACTGCTCTCCACAGCTGAGCATGCATCATTAAGTGGGACACCTGCAGCACTTGCCAGTTGCATCATAACTTCCAGTTCATTGCTAGCAATTGCATTACTGTTGTGGCTGTTCATGGCCATGGTTGAGAAGGTAGGAAAAGTTGGGAAGAGCTTTTCGACATCACTCTTCACCACTTGCCACTGCCAACCTGAGTTGACAAGGCTCTTCATTTCAGAAGTCATGACAAGCTTTCTGCCTTCTGGTGTTTGGCTGCCTTGCTCCATTGCTCTGCAGTATTGGACAAAGTGACTTGAAGCTAAGCTCAGGAATCTTTCACATCCTGTGAGTGGTGCCAGAAGCTCACCAGACTGAGAAATCAGTTTCTCATTTGCTTGCACCTGCTTCTGTCGCCATTTCTATGGCAAGGCTGTTGGGTGGAAGAAGAGCAGGCTTCACCCCACTGGCCAAGACTTCACTACCCTTTCGGTGAACATTGTATGGGTTCACCATGGAGGAGCCACGGTTGGCAGGGTGGCATAGGACTTCTCTGGGGCATATGGTGGTTGTGTACAGAAGTCCACATGACTCCAGCTTCTCCAACACTTTCTGGAGCTTGGTGTTCACACCAAGAGTGCAAGCAGGGCTCATCAACTCCCTGACTTCTTTTTCAACATCAGGCGGGCAAGACATTGCTCACTGTGCAGAGATGGCAGCAAAAGGTTCCTATGCACATTTTCTGTTCCCATACTTCATGACATGCGTGCATGTTTCCTTGCTTCCAAATCAATCTGGAACCTTGGACTTGGGCCAACATGGAAGGATATTTTCAGCTAGTTCAGCTGGCGACCAAAAGAAAGGCCATGGCTAGCTCAGTTTAGCTAATCACCAGCCCCCCTGCTGTCAGAACAGATGCATTTTTTCACTAGGCTCTTCTCAGGTCATCCAAGTGTACCATCATGCTTCCTTAGCGCGCTTGGTAAATTTGCCAGTTCTGTTGTACTCTCTCTTGGAAAGACCATCGCATGTGCAGTCTTCAGACAGAAAGTCAAAGACTGCCCCCAACTGCTCTGAATCCAAAGCTACTTGCAAATCAGCTGAGCTAGCTCTCTTGCCAGGAGCCCTGACATCCACCAAGGTGGAACCAAACTTTTGACAAAGTGTATGCACTTTTGAACTAGACTACGAGTGGCCCAAAAGCATTTTTCATCACGTAGGAAGTCAGAGTGTGAGTTATGTGTTAAGTGTTCAGTGTGAAGTGTTAAGTCGAGTGAGTTGAGGCAGTGTGTGGGTCTCTGTGTGTGTATCTATGTCTGCGTGTGTATGAGTCCCTGTCTGTGTGTGTGTGTGTCCGAGTAAGTTGAGGCAGTAAGATCTCCGCGTACCAAACTTGCACTACCAAATCACTAGTTCTCATCTTCCAGGTCCCCAAGTACTCCGCGTACTAGAGTTGTACTACAGAGCCGCCAGTTCTCGTCTTCCAGCTCCACAGATACTCCGCGTAGTTGTACTACCGAGTCGCCAGTTCTCCTCTTCCAGCTCCTCAGATACTCCGCGAGTCCACGTACTCCAGTTGTACTATACAGAGTCGCCAGGTCTCATCTTCCAGCTCGCCAGCTACTCCGAGTCGCCACTTCTCGTCTTCCAGCTCCCCAGCCCCAGATACTGAGTGTGCTAAGGTTGTACTACAGAGTCGTCAGTTCTCATCTGGCCGTCCCCATATACTCCGCGTGCTAAAGTTGTACTACCAAGTCGCCAGTTCTCATCTTCCAGCTCCCCACATACTCCGCGTACTCAAGTTGTACTAGCCCCTCGCCCGTTCTTATATCTTCCAGCTCCACAGATACGCCCTCTCGCCTTCTTTCGCGCTCTCGACCCGCACGCTCTCCGCAGAGAGGGTTGCGCACGTATGGGACAAATCGCACTCTCGCCTGCATTTCGCGCGCTCGACACGCACGATCTCCGCAGACTCTCGCCTGCATTTCGCGCACTCGACATGCACGATCTCCGCACAGGGTTGCGCGCAAAGGGGACAATTCGCACTCTCGCCTGCATTTCGCGCGCTCGACACGCACGATCTCCGCAGAGGGTTGCGCGCACACCGGACAAATCGCACACTCGCCTGCATTTCGCGCACTCGACACGGACTATCTCCGCAGAAGGTTGCACGCGGACCGGACAAATCGCACTCTCGCCTGCATTTCGCGCACTCGACACGCACGATCTCCGCAGAGGGTTGCGCGCGGACCGGACAAATCGCACTCTCGCCTGCATTTCGCGCACTCGACACGCCCGGACAAATCGCACTCTCGCCTGCATTTCGTGCCCTCGACACGCACGATCTCCGCAGAGGGTTGCATTTTCGGTTGACGCTGTTCGTCCCACCCTCAGCCTTTAAAGGAGAATGCATAAAGTGGGGAAATGTTTTTCATTAGGGGTGAGAGATCGAAAAAATATATTTAACGCATCAATAAAAATATTCCACACGCATCAACAAAAAGTTTAATGAATCAAAAAAATATTCCAAATAGCAGTAGCAGTAAGAGCAGCAACCGGACTATAGCAGCAGTATCGTAGTGGTAGTCGTAGTGTTTCGTGGCAGGCGCAGTACTTTGTGGACCTTGCAATGCACATTTCGTGGCAGGTGCAGGACTTTGTGGATGTTGAAGTGCAGAGTTGGTGGCCGGTGGTAGGCGCAGGACTTTATGGGCCTTGGAGCGCAGATTTCGTGGCAGGCGCAGGACTTTGTGGACCTTGAAGTGCAGATTTCGTGGCAGGTGCAGGACTTTGTGGGCCTTGGAGTGCAGATTTCGTGGCAGGTGCAGGACTTTGTAGCCTTGGAGTGCAGATTTCGTGGCAGGTGCAGGACTTTGTGGCCTTGGAGTGCAGATTTCGTGGCAGGCGCAGAAGTTTTTGATGTGGAAGTGTAGAGTTGGTGGCAGGTGCAGGACTTTGTGGGCCTTGGAGTGCAGATTTGGTGGCAGGCGCAAGACTTTGTGGACCTTGAAGTGCAGATTTCGTGGCAGGCGTAGTACTTTGTGGATGTTGAACTGCAGATAGACAGATTAAATACATAGATAGGTAGATAGATTGATAGATAGAGAGATAGAGGAGGCATATTTGCTTGGTTAGAAAAATTTGGCACCGGGGAGTTCACCTTAAAATATTGATTTCGTGGCAGGCGAAATAGTGTGTCGGGGATGAAGTGCAGATTTCCCAGCAGCACACCAGATCCAAAGGTGAGCAGCTCGTGCTTGCTTGCTTGCTTGTCGTAGTGTTTCGTGGCAGGTGCAGTACTTTGTGGACCTTGCAATGCACATGTTGAAATGCAGAGTTGGTGGCCAGTGGTAGGCGCAGGACTTTATGGACCTTGGAGCGCAGATTTCGTGGCAGGCTGCAGGACTTTGTGGACCTTGAAATGCAGATTTCGTGGCAGGTGCAGGACTTTGTGGGCCTTGGAGCGCAGATTTCGTGGCAGGCGCAGGACTTTGTGGACCTTGAAGTGCAGATTTCGTTGCAGGTGCAGGACCTTGTGAGCCTTGGAGTGCAGATTTCGTGGCAGGCGCAGGACTTTGTGGACCTTGAAGTGCAGATTTCGTGGCAGGTGCAGGACTTTGTGGGCCTTGGAGTGCAGATTTCGTGGCAGGCGCAGGACTTTGTGGACCTTGAAGTGCAGATTTCGTGGCAGGTGCAGGACTTTGTGGCCTTGGAGTGCAGATTTCGTGGCAGGCGCAGGAGTTTTTGATGTGGAAGTGTAGAGTTGGTGGCAGGTGCAGGACTTTGTGTGCCTTGGAGTGCAGATTTGGTGGCAGGACCAGCGGACCAGCGAGAGGACCAGGGGACCAGCCAGCGGACCAGAGGACCAGCGGAGAAGGGGACCAGCGGACCAGATGACCGGCCACCCACACGACTGGGAATTCCAATGGATTTCATCGCAAAACGAAAAGTTTTTTGATTCGGATATACTTCTATGCCATTGTGCGTATAGAAGTGTAAGTGTTCAAGTGTAAGTGTGGAAGCGTAAGTGTTCAAGTGTAAGTGTCGAAGTGTCAGTGTTCAAGTGCAAGTGTAGAAGTGTCAGTGTTCAAGAGATTTTCCGGAAGAACCCTTCGCAATGCTTTCGGGAAAAATACATCAAAAGTGCATCAAGAATTTACCGACAATTCATCTAAGATTTTTAGTTTTTCAAATTACTTATCTTTAAAAAAGGTATCAAACACACTACAACTCACAAGAAAACTAAACACAAGTTCCAAATTGAATGACATCTTCATGAAAAGGATACTTACACAAAGTCTCTACCTGAAGTAAAGTACACTCAGGTAAAAGCGCCCAAGTGAATTCACATCCTCAAGTAAAAGCACATCAACTTCCCAAGTAAAATGACATCCTCAAGTAAAAGCTTCTCAAGTGAATTCACACCCTCAAGTAAACACTTCTCAAGTGAAATGACAGCCCCAAATGGCTCACAGTGCGCAGAACATTTTACAAACCTAGACAACAGCATGCGCAGCTGCTTCCAAAGCAGCCATGGTGACAGCAACTCACAGAGCCAAAGATTTCTCACATCACATGCACCCTCACACTGGCAAAAACATCAGAGAACATGTCCCAAGAACAAGTTTCATCTTTCAAGCAACGTAACATCAAGTAAATGGTCTCCCATCAGAAAGATAAAGACCCTCAAGTGAACGCTCTTCTTCCTAAAGTGAAGAAATGTCAATATCCTCAAGTAAATTCCTCCCTCAA